AGGAAGGGAGGCAAGGGAGGAAAGAGGTGATTGTCTGAAGGGCCTTTTGTGATTGAATTTCCTGCATTCAAGGCTGGGTGAGACATTGTCCAAGCGCAAATCGGCGGTCTCAGCGCCTCTCTTGGACACCTTGCTCCCATGAAAGGCCATGCCGCCAGGTTTAAGATGGTGTGCACCGCTCACCCCAATCGCAACTCTTGGAGGCATGGAGCACTGCATGCGTGCGTGAGTGTTCGTAATGGCGATCCATGATACAGTCTGGCAGACGGTTGGCAAACTCGTCCACCGGGCGATGTTCCCAATACGTGCTGCTTTTCCACGTGTGTGCACAATCGTTGCTGCTGGCACTAGATCCACATTGTTGTAAGGTGGCATGTACAGCATGATATCATCAGTACCATGATGTGCTAGTGCGCAATTCAAACTGTCCCCAATATAATGGCGGCTGGGAGGGTCCTGCCACCGGGACCGCCGGGGCTGCTTGGTTTTCGCCTACATATACGTTAGTGCGTCTGATGTACATATCTAGCTAGCTTAGGTGGCTCTGTGTACGTACGCTTGTACCATCAGTGTTGGACTACTCCTAAGATGCATTGCAACATACTATTGCAAGCCTGTGCTACGCAGGATGGCGCGCGTGCCGCGGCTTTGCGAAAAGGAAGCTAGTGGCAGCGCGATGCGAGTTACGTGTATTCCAGTTGCACTCATGGTCCTTTCTGTGACGCGTGGAATGTGGCGCGTCATGGGTAAATCATGGGTAGTGCGGATGGCATGCCCATGATGTAGTGCGACCGAGCCATGCGGTGGCGTGCAGCGAGATGGATCGGGTAGGAGATGTGTTGGCGCGACAGATGGACAATCTAATTTAGGCTGGAGGGGCGCGGAAGCTTTTTGGAACAAAGTGCAATTGAATATTTTCCGCAACAGGTCGATCAGGCCTAGCTATTTTTTTTTTCCGAGTTCAAGTATACGCATTGATGATCCATCAGTTAGGAACAAGTCTAAGTACATCTAGTGGTAATTCCTAAGGACTTTGCTGAGAAGCAAATTTGGATAGACTTGTAGCGTTGATGGGGTGCCTACGAACCTCTGGTAGGCAGGCAGACTTGCCATCTAGCCAATGAGACGCAGTTGAAGAAACACACACACTCATCCATGTATGCCATGAGAAGCCTATGGCCTATTTGGCTATGGCGAGAACGAAAAGAGACCATCAGTGGAGGTTTTGACCTAGATCGATCTTTTGGGGCCGCCGGTATGGTACCATATAGTATGTGCACTCACTCACATAAGTTCCCACTGGCGCCCATGCTCAATTGCACATGCGTGCACCGTCTGGCATATTAAATTAGTATAACGAAACTTCGCCGCCTGTTCTTGTATTATACTAAGTATTTGATAGCATGCGGCCATGGAATTCACTGAGACACACATATACAGTTCGAAACTTAAGCAGGCCCCTGCAACTCACGTATCTACGTACCACGCAAGTTGGACCCACCATGTGCACATGCAAGCTGCACAGATAATTACTATAATGTTCAATCTAGCACCTAAGTGACATGCACGCACACCTAGCCATATAGGTTAAGTTCGCAATCTAGAATTTTGTTGATAGGCGTATGCACGTATTGCACATGGCCGCGTATGCCAGCAGTGACGGGCTCAGGCATGGCCAAGCACCATACCAGATCTGTACTAAGAGCAGGATCATGTGAAGCTGCATGGGCGGCCACCCGACCATGGCATGTGGCAATGCGCGTTTAAGCATGTAAGACACATGCACGTTCAAGTCATCAAAAGGCCAAGCTTAGCAAAATCAATTTCGACTTTCTAGGAAGGCACATTCATTGAATAAAGTGGGACCAGATAGCACAGCGAAACATATGTGACAGACAGTAGGCTGTAAAATGTACTGTTGCCTGCATACCACTGTGAAAGCAAGCAATCTTATGCACGCGTGCGCAGAAATGCAGGATGCAGCTACCTCCGCTTGCTGTTCCCCTCTCCAAACCTTCTCAATGTTGCTCGGTTTCACCATGAGAAATGTAAAATGCAGGATAGATCCACATCTCAGATATGACACGATTTATTTGAAACATGCCGTCAAGCTAATCAACTAGATCTCATCCTGCGACACCATGAAGAGCCCTAAGTGCAGACTGCTTGGCCTCCCCAGAAAATCCTTCCGTAATCCACCGTGCGCCCTGCATGATTGGAGAATTTGCATACTGGTGAAACTTCTCTTAGCACATCATTAGGAGGACAAAGCTGACCAAAACCAAGGCGGGTAGAAGAGGATAGCATCCTCTTTGCACAGATGGTGATCAAAGTGAATGGCGATGTACAATTCCCTGGGTTGACCCATAACCATAAGCAAGCTAGCCATGCTTACTTGGAGCGACCCTCAGCCAGCAGGAGCGAAGCTTCCCCCTGGCTTTCTTGGTGGCCCGATTCGCCGTCACCCACGGACGCTTCACCCACGACTTTTTCAAACAAAGTCTGTGGTTCTTTCAAACCTGCAACGTACAGAACCAGCGTCAAGGCTCAAATATTGGCAGCTGAGACCATGTCTCTTCCAAATTGCCTACCCGTTGGACAACAAGTTTTGCTCAAACACGACACTGCAGACCACTCCTTGCAAAATCTGGTTGAAAGTCAATGCTTAATCGAGTAGGTCAGGTGCATCATTGCAGCAATTGAGAACAGACTCCGGGCCAGACTCCGGACTCAGGGCCTTCGTTGAGGAACTACTGTGAGGTACATTCAAGTCCTTCTGACTTGCCAACTACCTAAAAAGCAGGCTTTTTCAGAATGTCATCAAACCACCTCAAACAAAGTGATTATCCTCTTTTCAAGCCGTCTGTGTGATCCAGACAGTTTCTTTTCCTTTCCTTTTCTAATTCCAATAGTCCTGTCCTTACTTGCTCCTTCTGAACGGGAGAAAGGGAGCAGCCCTAGAAGGAACAACCGACCTGAGCCCACAAGGAACTGCATCAGTCCCGTCATCTCGTTCTCAAGATACTGCATGTGAAACTTTTTCAGCTCCTCCGCACTGTTCCTCTTTGCCTCAGCGATCTTCTTCCGCCTATGCTCAATCATCCTCTTGTACTGCGCCACAGTGTCAATTTGCGAGGCCTGCAAGAATGGTAGAAGCCGGATGAAATCCTTCTTGAGGAGAACAATTCTTGACATGGACCTCCTGGATATAAACAGAATAACACCACCATCAAGACTAGCAAGAAGACATCCATTCAAACTGAAGCACTCCATTTTGTCGGGAGAATTCTTTGACAAGGTCTCTTGGCTCAAATGAGCAGTTCACTTGTCAAACCTGCACAGTTTTATGCCGCAGCACAACAGTTTGCACACTTGATGCACATTTTACTAGCTTCAGAAAGCCTGCGTTCCTGTTGTCAGACTACTGGGCGCTCTATCACTGGCTACTTGACACATACAAAGATGATGAATCCTCGAATTGCAGGAAACCGTGTACTTTACAAGCTATATTGAGCTAACGAGGAACTTAGAACCACTAGTGCCACAGGACAGCTAGCTTTGCCAGACTATCCACCTGCTTTCCGACTGAATTTCACCACTCACATCCATTTTGTTGACTGCGCGTTCCACAGTATCAAATCCTGTGGCCTGCTGTCTTGGCTAGCGCCCAACTGCTCGTGCTTTCTAGGAGGGAACCTAAGGCTACAGCAGCAAAACCTCATCTACTTGCACCTCCAATCAAGGTGAGGGTGCGCACAACAAAGGCGAAAAAACAGGATTGTTGAATTAAAAATGCTATCGAGAAAGCAGGCTCACTTCCTTGCCAAGTTGCAGGCCTCGGAGTCGGAGCCAGGTGAAAAGGTGGAGATCTTCAGACGCCCGGTGATCGCATTCACGGTGTGAATGTGCTGTTACTGGGTGTCATGTTGGTACAGCTGGACTGCATGAGGATATTCACACCTTCTGATTGTGATCAAAGTGTTAATAGCTTTGTATGCGTGGTATGGACCGGGGACTTTGCTTTGGGCTGAGCGGTGCGTATTTCCACCTTGGACCTTTCTGACAAGAAAGACGTTGCGTTGAGTGTCATACAGCGATCACACATGAAAGCGAACTTTTCCGGCCGGTGACAGATTTCGACGGCTGTTTGGCCGGCTTCAGTCGGGTCGATCACACATAGCGACCATCAACTTCTGGTCGGTACAGCCGTCGAGCTGTTTTGGCGATGGTCAAATCTGGGACGTCCGATGACCGCTAAACAAGGAAAGTCTTCCAGGAACCGAGCAACTTTGCTTGATATAACCTGCCAGAGTGCATGAAGACTCCGTGCTTATGGTATGCCCAAAGGTAAATCTTTCTCGCCGAATATGTGTCACAGCTTATTACCACCTACAAGTTTGTATCCCCGGGAGATTGAATCCAAGACCCATAACCCAAGTCCTGACAGGTCTATGATGCCCATGTTCCCCGTGATCATGTCAATTTAACCCTACTTAACTTATCTGAACACCGGTCATTTTTTTATATCCGTCCCATATCCGTATACTCTGTGTTTTGTGATTATAAACACCTATATGAGATTCACATATGCTTTTCAGCCTGATGATGATGTCCGTAAAACACAACCCGCGACGGCAAGGTTTTGCCCCGGGGGAACATGCTTGCCACGTAGGCTTCCTCGACATTGACGGCAGTACCGACCGTCGCCGACCGACAAAAGTATGGCAGAAATTTTCTGGCCGCCGTCGACGGCCAGAATGGCCAGAACTGGCGAAAATCGCCGGCCGGAAATTGGTTTTCCGGCATGTGTGATCGTTGTATCAATTTGAAACTTGAAAGCAGGCGCTGCATACTCGGTGCACTGCTGAGAGGGCGCAAACGCCCCGATCGATATCTGCCAGAGGCTCTGGCTGCACTTGGAAGTTGCTCACCTACCAAACGGCACCGCTGCCATGATGATGAGGTTGCAGATCGCAGCGACCTGCCAGGATTTCAAGGGTAGATGGAACTCAGGGAGCGCTGCTGACACCACGATGGAAGGCTGGGGCCGCTCAACATTCCGATTCCGGGAGGCCTGAGCGGGTTCTGTGCACCTCAGTCTCTCAGTCTTGGGCCAAGGTGAGGCGCCAGGTCCAGCTGGGTGGGATGCAACCATGATTTTCTTGCGAGCCCACTTGTTGAAGTGACCGACTATACCGTTCCAGAGGGTATTTCAATATAATTACATAGTTTTGGGAGGTAGCTTTTCAATTCATTTTGAAAAGGTAGTAATTTTGTTACAGTGACGGTCTTCGTTGTTCCATTTGAATACTTTGCCATCACAGTAATATGGGCCGCTGTGCTGCGCAGGCATCATATGCGCTCCGTCTTATGCTGTGCGATCGGCTCACCATGGTCGCTGGACCCAGTGTGCCCCAACTCACATCACATGGTGAGGCCCTTGTCTGCCAAATTCTGTGCATTCCACGTCTTTGGTTTCAGGTACGCCTGTAACTCCTGTTTCTGCAATACGCATCTAGGAAAGAAGGCGGTCAGGCTTCATTTGGCCGCGTAACTGGATAGTTGCCTTGTCACGAATAGTAACAAGGGTGGGGTTTACCTGGATGAACCTGTTTGTCTTTGCAGGGTCGTCTGTGTCCTTTTTGGCGTAACCTCCTTCTATCCAGTCCCGTTCAGCATGCAATCTGACACATGATTTCCTGTTGATCAGCCTGTCGATCAGCCTGCGTGTTTCTTGAATGCAAGGGGTCTGATGCTTCTGAGACCCTTCGCAGCATTTCAGGGCTTTTTCTGAGTTAGGCGTTTCTCGTATTCAGCAACCGAAGGGTTTTTGGGTACCTTAGTAAGATCCGGGTGCTGGTGTTGGAGAGCCGGGCGCTGCTGGTCATCGTGGAAGCAGCATGCAATGCGTGCCATTCATCATTTCTCTAGGGTGTCTGAATGTGGAGCACGCTGGGCTCTTTTCTGCTCGCCTGCACATGAGCTTACAACATTGCGCTGGCCGTGGATCAGGAAGACGGAGATGAAAACGGAGGGCTGATGGGGTTGCCCGAGGAGGCTCCTTTGGAATTCCGGCGAGGGGTTACGTTGCTTCCTTGTCGTCAGCACGCGACGTGTTGTTCCAACATTCGTGACACCTCCCTTTGCGCGTCCCTTCCTCATGCCTACCCGGGGTTTGGGAGTCTAGTAAACGCAACAACGAGTGACTCCTAAGCACCTTTTGTGTTGAAATGCTAAACTGCCGTCAAATCATCTGGCGACCCTTTTCTTCCAGGCAGAAGCTTTCTCCAGGGCAATGGCTGCAACAAACACCTGCGCCAGAAAGCACCAGCCTGTGCAAGCTGCACCATGGACTGACTTCTCGCGACGCCACACTTCATTGGCATGGCAGACGATAAATCAAACAGGTGCGATGTCTGGGCGAGCTTCCTTCCAAGTGTCCCTGTTTATTTAGCTGGTGCGAGGCCGGCCGCTCTGCTTCGCATGCTGTGTACTTGGGGTGGTGAAGATTCTACTGCGGTGTGGCACCAAGGCATTGGATGCGTTCCGTAGTCGACAGAGTTCCCTGATATTTTATGGCAGAGCTTGCTCTCTGTGCAGAAAGGACGCCCCCTCTTTCAACATCAGCGCTTCTTGAGGGATAAGGGGCGTTGAAGTGACTCGACTTTGGCACAAGTGTGTCAAAGTGACGTCAGCTTGTCAGCACACCTGGATGAAGTTCGGCCTAATACAAGGGAAACGAAAAAGGAGGAAGAACCTATGCCGGCCTTGAGAGCATGCGAAATCAGCTCAGGCCAATCCATGCAATTGGTGACGTCAACCCTCAGCAGTACTTGGCGACGTGAGAAGGATTTTGCGAAAAACGAGTGCTGGAGCTGATGCCAGCGTTCCATCCACCAGGATCACTGCAGGGCTGCTCATCAAGCAGGGCCGCAGCGCATATTCGCGCAGGGGCTGCAACAGCTTTCAGCACAAGCATAGCAAGACGGGCTACCTCCTCTACCTTGTGCACCACAACGGTGAGAGAGCGCCCTGTCCTTACATGCTTCGGCCTGCTGTGTTTGCTAATCTTTTGTGTTTGCTCCTGAGAAGCCCGTATGTCAAGCAAGCAAACATTCTTTCTTCCTGGCCCTATGCTCAATAAAGATAGCGCTGTTACATCAACTTAATGATGTGCAAGTCCAGTGGTAACCTTAATCAGTGCGAGTTCAGTGGTAACCCCCTTCCCGGTGTCAACTTTATTTGCGCTTTGCCCTTCTCAAATAGTTCAACATAACCGCTTGTATTCATATCCAGTGCAAACCCCCTGGAGTACGTCGAGTGAGTGCGGACGTATTTCTGTGGAGTGCAACAGAACCCTTGGAAATTACCTTCTTTCGAAAACTTATTGCGACCCAGTTCAGTTTGAACGTACTTCAACCCAGTCCAGCACAATCCATTTGTAACTTGATTTAGTGCGTCCCCTTCTAATCAAGTTGAGTGCTATCGTACTTCGACTTCAGTGCAAACCCTTTCGTCTTCCAATGCAGTGCACACCCCATTGTTGCCGAGGTCAGCGCATGCTGAACTTGAGATGATTTGTCAAGCGCAGAACCCATTCATGAATTTCTTCAGCGCACACCCTCTCCTCGTACGAACCTAGGTCAATTGATTGAGCGCAACCTCGATTTTCAACCTATTCGCTGCGACCTCCAATCAATTAAGCGCAAACGTATTCTGGCTTACTCAGTACACACCAGTTGATAGTCTATCTTAGTGCAAATCTGTACCCCAATACGGGTTAGCGCCAACTCTTCGCAACCTTCTTAGTGCAAGCGCCTTTCTAATTCCGTTCATTGTAAACTGACTTCGACTCAGAAAAGTCGCAGTCCTGATCCACCTCAGCGCAGGCCATCTATCCTTGTTCTTCCCACAGCCTGATTCTACTCTCTGGTCGCATGCTGGGCCTGGTGCACTCTCACCCGTGCTTTGGCTTGGTCTTGCGCGTTCCTCCTCAACTTCGTCGCCCCGTTTTGCCAGCTGGTGCATCTTCGTGATCGACCACGCCTTCATGAGCGTGCTCGTTTCTGGCGACCACGGGCGCCAACTGTCCACTTTCGGGCTCGCCCTCAACAAGCTCTACAATGATTTTTGGGGACGTTCTGGTGAGCTGCCCGCCTCGTTTGGAAGGTCCCCTTCCCGTTTGCATAAGCATGGAGGTTTAGGCGTTGTACTCTAACTCAAGACCACCCCTTCTTCATCGCTAGTGGCCTGAGCAGCCAGTGCTTTCAGAAGCGCTTCGGGGTCTGTAACACTTCGGTTAATGAGTTCCTGGAATTTGACAGTCAGCAGTACTCCAAAGCTGTCTCTCTCAGACGGGATCCGAGACCACAAGTGTGCCGCAAAAAGTTGGGAGTTGCGTGCTTTCTACAAAGCGCTGCAGGTCGGTTCCCTTTGGTTAGAGTCCAAGGACATCACCCGATTGTGTGCAGGTTTTCTGGTTCCTAGAGCCAACTCCTCAATCCTCAGGTTCTTCTTTCTTGTTCGTCATGCATATGTTTCCTTAGGATGATACCGCGCCGTCCTTGATTGGTAACGCACTTGGACAGCGTCTAAAACGAATAGCGTGTTGTTCTTTCGATTGAGGTGAGTAAGGAGCTGCTGGACGTGGCCACCACGATGTGGGCTGATCCCAAGTTTCGCAACTATCTCTGGCCCCTTCCCTTCCCAGGCACTCTCACCAGCCCTCGACGCTTGGTGGCTGTCTTGGTCGACGCCCTTCAGGTGCGGCCTTTTCTGACCCGTTCGCAAGCTTTCCGCCTTGTTTGGGGTCCCGCTACGGTTGGATACTCTTTTTGAACTACCTGTTTTGCATCCTGGCGCCTCATGCATCCCTTTCCCTTTCCGTTGGTGACGGGTAGAAGCGTCCATTTTGTTCGTCATGGCTATGCTGACGAACAAAGCCGGGGAGTGATCGTTTCGTATGGAGATGGGTCTCACAAACATTCGTCATTGGGGTCTTGATGTTGAGCTAAAACCCTAAAACCGCTTCCAAGCGGTGCTTGTTTCGGTTTCCGAGTCCGCCAGTTTGACTTAGGGGCCTCCACGCCTGCGCTCCTCTGCCAAACGTGCGTTGAAGCGGCGCCCGACTGCTGTCTTCCCACCTTTTGCCGCCTGCTTGTGATGCTGACACGCGTCGCTCTGCCGTTGGTCAGCGGGCTGCCCCAGCAGACGCCGAGAGCCGCCCACTGGTGGCCGCTGGCGGCCGGGCAAGAGGGGGGCAAGAGGCACGGGGACGCAACAGCCGTGACGAGGGACGTCCCAGGTGAGGCTGCCAGCGCTTCAGGAAACGATTTCGACAGTTTTTCCGTTCGACGTCGTTGATTGTTTCTCCCGAGATGGTGCTCAAACTCGGGCTGCGTCAGGGTTGCGCCGCAAAGAGGGAGCGCTACGCCGCGCATTTGACTCGGCTGTGGCTCATCAGCGAGCAGAGCGGGGCTAGTCTAATCGAACGGTACAACGGCAAAAGCCGAATTGGAGACCGAACAGGCAGCATGAGGCCAAGGCTACCAGACCTGAGACGAACTGGGAACCTTCGATGCGTCTTCTTTATCCTGTTGCATTCGAGGCTTCCAAGGACCAATGCAGTGCGGGCATCTTGTCGCACCTGAGGTCGGCAAGGAGAATGTCCCGTGTGCTCGTAGTCGGTTCTCGGTAATGGAAGCCTGAGATTTGTCCGTTCCGCTTGCAGCCCATTCCGCCCCAGCGGCCGGGACTGGCGGTACACCGCGCGGGGGCGTCGCTGGCCCGGGCCAAGCGCGGCTGCAGCACCAGACAAGGTAAGCCGACCTGGCAGGAAACTCGATAACGGGTCTCAAAAGTCCCAGAAGCTTCAGGGTTTGTACCTGGACGTCAAAGTTCGAAGTTCGAAGTTGCAATATCCCCCATTCGAGTCATAGGTTTCAGGCGCCAGAGTGCGTGCACTCCGACCCAGGGAACCAATTGCTTCCGAAGCGCGAACTTTCTGCAACTGTGAAAAGCTAGCGCCAAGACGGGAGAAAAGACTTGCACAGCATAGACGTGCCTTCGGTTAGATGCAGGACGTAAACGAAAGCGTTCGCCGCTACCGAGTTTCTGATTTCAGCACCCGCGTGTAGAAGTCTTCTCCTGCTATCATCGTTTGTGGTTGGCGGGTCAATGTCAGCGGACAAGACAAAGGGATGGGTCATTTTCAGCCTGAAGGTCATAAAGGCAACGCCTTGGGGATACCCTGTACAAACCCCTAAGCGCCCACTCCTACTTCCTTCCGAAGTCGCTTTTCTGTTGGATAGGTAAAAGCCCCGTCGGTGAGATCACGGCGCTTCCATCTACGAATCAAGGTCGCACCGGTACTTCGGCGGCGTCGTCTGTGTTTCTGAAACCCGCTCATGAGTTCGTCTGTGCTCCCCGAGTTCTATTCGTCAGACCTGACCCGCCCTTCCGTCCGGCATCCCCCCAGGAGTGCCGGTCACGCGTGATCCTTGACGTGGATTCGCACCATTTTGCGCGCACTTTCCTCATTCCCGACACGAGCTCTCGTTTCCGTTCCGTGCAAGGTTGCGGAAGGGGCGTCGTCTGGGAATGGCGACCTGCAGCGCTCGGGGGAGTTTGTCGTTGCGGGCTTCGGCGGCGCACCTCCCTTTGAGCAGGCCTGGTTGGCGCGGCAAGCACAGGGTAGTGCGAGGCTGCATTCTGAAAGACAAGGGACGCCCCTGGTGCTCGTGGAAACGTTAGTCGAACTTGTCTGGTAACAGTCCTCACTTGATTGGTGTCGGTGGCGTTCCTCTAGGAGTGGGTCAGAACCCAGTAGAGCTGATTACAGTTTGTTGACCAGGTCTCTACAACGTTCTATTTATTAAAGTAGGTCGGGCACGTGTCATATCTCTGTTGCTGAGCGGCAGGTGCATCCGCAAGCACACCTTTGCACACAGCGAGGAGATGTTCTGTCGAAGATTATGACGATCCGGAGTTGGCAAGGTGGTGCTTGTAGGGTCGTGAAAACGAAGACCTCAATTCTTGGTATCATTGAGTGTAGCCTTCCCAGATTTCCATTAAACGAGAAGGTTCGGACTCTTTTGACGGATGTCACTGTGAAACTTGAAAGTCGCATTTCAACTTTGCCACTTTCGTTGCCATCACAACCTTCCACACCTTTGACCCGATTGAGTTTCCAACTCGTCGGCCGTCAGCATGCATGTGCTGATTTACAGTTGCAGTTGCTTAGTTGCATGAATAGTATGCCATGTGTACCACGAGAGTGACTGGATACGATTCTTACTTGTTCGAGTTGCGTACCTTTAACGCCAACATGCGCGGCAAAGTTACTGCATGCAAACATCTGTCTCGATCATGCATTGATGGCGATCGTGATCGCTAGGTACATATTCTGATGCATGTATACCCTGATGGTGAAGTCTACACTTACATGATTAATTGGTAATTCGGAAACGACGATGCAAGCATGAAGTATGTTAAACCCGTGCCCTCAGGCACTCGTAGGACCTGTCACGTGACCTCCTAGTCTTGCAGAGACTTGTGACTTGTTGCCATCTCGGAAGATGCAATTACCAACCTCCAGCCTCTCTCAAAGCCTCTGCTTTTGGATGCGTGACTTGTCTCTCCCCTCTCTGGTTACGCTCGAAACCCTGTCTTCCAAATCCGTTCTCCCTGTAGACCGGACCTCCCTCTCGGCGGTCACTTCCGGTGCCACGACGGCTATACATAATGTCGTCTTGAGCTGCCAGAGCGCGCCTGCGATCTGCAGCCCGGAACGCATCCTGCTCTAAGCCCCTGTCGTCGTGTCCCCACCTGTCCAACCCGCCCCCCCGCTCCCTTAAATACCCGTCAACACCAACCCTTCCTGTCCGGTCAGCCAATCGCGGATCCAGAAGCGGCCCCCTGTTTGCCGCCAATTGGGCTTCTAGAGCCGCAGGGTTTTGTCTCAGGTACTGACTCACAAGGGCCCGCTCAAACTCTGGATCCCGCAGGCGCCTCTCCACCTCGCGCCTCTCGAACAGGGCTTCCATGTGCAGGGGGCGCTCCAAAGGCCGGTCGAACCGGTCGGCCGAGGCCCCGCGAGGCGCCGGTTGCCAGCCACCCCGCCTGGGAGACCCGGTGTCAACCTCAATGTCAGCCCAGGAAGCTGACTCGTCGACAAGGCTCTCGGCAGTGGCCGCCCTTCCCGTCTGTTTCGTCTCCAGATCTCCCGAGCGCGGCCGAACGCCTCCCTCCTTTCTTGAGGGCGCAAACTCAGGGGCGGCAGCGGATATTCCGAGCCCCTGTCTGAGCAACGCATCCGAGGGCGCTGGCGCCCGTCCCCGCACCGCTTCGGGGGGCGCGCTCTCCTGTCTGGGCGCCCCTTCTGCCCGGGGCACCGCTTGGCCCCCCTCCCCGCCCACCATTTTCTGCACCGCCATTGCCAGGTCCGACGCCGCTGCTACGGGCGTTTCCGTCGAGGCCGCCCACTTCTTAGTAGGGGACGAAGTCAGGCTCGTGCTGCTAGGCCGGGAGACCCCCCTGGACCGGGGCGGGCTGTCAAACGACGCCTTGTGGGATGCTCCTTTCTCGTACGGAACCATCTTCTTGATAGGGGCGTCCAGGACGGGGGACGCGAGCCGCTTTGGGGGCACTTCGAAAGGGGGGGCCGCCGCTCGAAGAGTAGACGCCAGAACTTTTGACCAGGGTCCCGTTGCTAGCCCCAGCTCCGAGGCTCTCGGCTTGACGTCCGGCGCCTTCACTTCTAACCTCGTCTTTTCTTCTGGGTTCGGTTCTGATTTACTATCGCCTTCCCCGCTAACCACCTTCTCAACCGACGGCTCGACTGGTTCTGTAACCGGCGCCGGTTCCTTCTCCTGCAGCTGCTCGACTGCAGAAGCGGTCTCCATAGTATCCGAGTCGGCTCCCGTCACTGGGGACGCTTTTGGCCCCCCTGTCTCCACCTTCTCCTCCTGGCGCTTGCCCCACGCCCCCTTCAGAACAGGCGCCGCAACCTCTGGCACACTTCCATCCTCAGCCGCTTTCTTCTCGCCCCCTAACTCCGGCCAGGCTTCCTGGACGTCTTCGGTCTGTTTCTCATCTGGCGCCGGCGATGCAAAGCGGGTGTGCGTGGCCTGGGCCTCAGGGGCGCGCCGCCAGCTGTCAGCGGAAGAACCCCTCTCGCTTTGGGGGGGTGGCTGGAGGGGGGCACCAGGGAGGGGGGTGTGGATTGCGGTCTGTGTGAGGTGGTAGGGCGCCTTGCCAGGGTCCATCTTACGGAGGGTAATGGAGATGCGCTTGGCAGGCACGCCGGGGATGCAGTGCTTGGCAACGTCGGCGCCGTTCCCGTTCAGGATCAGGACCGAGCTGCAGGTAGCAAACGCGACAGCGGTAAGCGTTTGCGTGAAAGCATAAGGTGCAGAGTGCCGGATACGAGGGCTGGGAGCTTGACGAGGACATGTATGCACGCTGAAAGAAATCAAAAGGGGAAGGCGCAGAACAGCAATACGGGGGGTCTAACTAAGACTCAACATGCCATTTGCATTTGCCCAAGGCTGAAAGCTTGTGGCTACTCTCGAGAGAACGTTTTGTGTTCAGGGTACTAAAGGCTGACAGACTCTCGAAGCAGCTAGGGTTAAGGGCAGCCACTGACCAGAGCCAGAAGAGTCCAGGTTTGAGGCAAAAGTAGAGATAGACACCGCAAGCTCAGCTACTGACGTTGAAGAAGTAATCTCAATCTCGTTCTCTGTTGTGATGGCGCAGACCAAGATGTGCAGCGAACAAAGCGTTTGTCGCAGGAATCCTTACCCGACTGGGAGACTGATACGCACAGGCCCCGCGAACTCGCCCTCGCCTACTGGCTCTAGCTTGGTCCCAAACACGATGTTTGCTTCGGACAGGAGCGAGAGTGTGCAGAAGGGCCTCAGGAAGTCGTGGTGGTCGATGTGAGGAGGGATGCAGTCGCCCTGCGAGAAACAAGAGCAGGACAGCAAGCATTCAAAAGGTGCAGGAAAGGGACGGACATTACGTGGCTGCTAAAAGCGGGACGGAGCACTTGTATGCCGCTTGACAACCGCTGTAAACTGCTCCACTATGGAAACGACGATTCTGCCGACCATAGCTTCGTGTGCAGGCTCTTAAGTGGACCCGGAGGACGCCCAGGGTATTCCTGTGTAGGATCAGGGCCCGGAAAATGAATAACTGTTAACACGTCATGGCTGCAATTGTTGACAAGGAGTGTCACCACTTGGTCAGAAAGGCTGCAGAGCACAGCATAAGGCATTGGAAACTGCTGCGCTCGTGTGATAGAAATTGTTTATTGGTGACAAAGAGCAAGGTTAGTCACAGTGAAAAACCTAAAGTAAGAAGCCTGACTGAATGGCACTCACTTCATCGTAGATGTTGACAATGCAAGAGTCGGGCCGGCAGCTCTCGGGTACGACGCCCCAGTTGATCATGCGCTTGATGATGCTCTGGATGATGGGCGGGATGGGATCCACCTCCTCGTCTGCATTACTCAGGGCGATTTGGCTTTTATGTCAAGTGAGGGCACGGCAGAACGGTGGTCATGTGCCAGCTTCATAGACGTTGGCAAGTACCATGCGTCAGCATGCAACGGCCGGGTTTGAATCTTCCTTAAATCATTTCCGTTGACCCTGAGGGATCGGGTTGAGTGTTCTTCTGAGCTTGTCAGCTGCAAGCTGTAATCTGGGCTGGTGCAACAAACAACGCAGCATGACACTGACGTGGCTCTTTTCGAACCCACGGATCAATCAGGCCAGCCGACGGAAAGGACAACTCCAAAATCACCTCGCACGATGCCAGGGGGGTTGCCCGTTTTGTCGATTGCGTAATTGTAGCAGCAGCCAAACTGGATCGTCACTCGGCCCTTGCCACGCATCCACTTCCGCGGCTGGGTGTACGTCCTGGCTGTGACGTCAACAAAAGAGAGTTAAATCAAACTGAGAACGGCAGACAGGGAGCTCATTTGGCACTGCTCTCGTACTGGCACGACATCGAAACATGAGGCCACAGGCAGCACGCAAACTTCGCAGTCCCTCCGTTTTCTCTTTTAGAAGACAAACCGAATGGGCAGGCATCTCCAGTACAAGCCAAGAGACAGCTGCACGTGTACTCACGCATCAGCTTCCCCGCCTGCCCTTCCTCCTGAAGGGTGTAGATCCTCTTGACCAGCTTCGCCTGCTCGTCTGCGTTCAGAACATTCTCGTGCAGCTCTAACCCTTGAAGAATATTCACCTGCAAGCACGCAGATTGGGCTCACCATCATCTGCTAACGATACCTACGTGGAACACAAGGGGCACGAGTGCCGGCTGCTACTTTTACTGGGTTTTTGTCAAGGCAGACTCCTTTATCCTGAGAAACGACACAACAGGTCACGTGCAGGTCTGATTGTCATTGAATTCAAGGTGATACAAGAAGTGTAAGCCCTGCACTTTCATCCCCGAACATGCCGAGCAATTCGACAATCCTTGGTTAACCCACCAACACTCTGCATAGATTGGTGTTAAATCAGCCACTTACCATTCGCCCTGACCTGTCTCTCTCCATGTACACAAAGTCCCGTGTGCTCTTCATCTTTGCCTTCCGCTGGTCCTGTGTCAACACCACCTTTGGTGCCCCAGCTGCCGGGGCTCCCGGCTCTGCTGTTTCCGAACTGCTCGCTAACGCCTGTGAAAAGCTCTTTACAGGGGCGGCTGCTGTGCCCTGCGAACCACCCCCTGCCGCCTCCGGAACTGCCTCCGGTCCCGCTCCATCTCTCTCTCCAGACTCTCCGCTAGCACTCGTCACCGCTTCCAGTGCTCCACGGGGGTTCTGGTTTTCCTTGCCTTTCTCCAGCTTAGGCTGGAGGTCGCCCCGGCCAGCCTCCGCCAGGGCGGGCTTGCGGCTGGCAGTCTGCCGCGCAAGCTCCTGCTTCGCCGCTTCCCTCTCCGCCTTTTGCCTCAGCAGGCGCTCCATCCGCTCCTGCTTCGCCTCGTGCATAGACTGCCCCTCCTGCGTCGTCTTGGCAGCGTCCTTGAGCGCCGCAAACAGGGTGAATGTTGGCGCAACACGCGGCCGGACTTTGACGGGGTTGCCCTTCACAGATTTTGTCACCTCAGACCCGGCTGATTGCGGTGCCCCATCGTTTTCGCCGTCAACTTCTTCGTCCCCAGGCTTAAAAACCTCGCCTCCCTCCCGTGGCGGCTCCTCCGTTGCTACTTCGTCCACGTTGATGTCATCAACGTCCGCAGTGGACTCTGAGTATGAGATTTCCGGCTGCTTTGCAGGCTGGCCAGAACTCAACTCTGTCTCGTCCTGATCAACTTCGAAACCGCTGCTCTCTGCGCCTTTCTCGTCAACTCCAGCCCCGGCTCCTCCAGCCCCTTCCACCTTAACGTCGGCTCTCCCGTCCACACCACCTCCACTAATTTTCCTACCCCCCTCGACGGCAACGTCCGCAACTTCTCTCGATGCCTCTGCAACTCTGGCGCTCTCCTCTTTGTTACCACTGTCCCCAGTCCCGCCTGCATCGGCAGGGCCCTCTTCCCCGCCCTTATCTAACTGATCACCCCTGTTCCCTCCTCCCCAAGCTTCCCCTGTCTCATTTGCCTCAAGGGCCCCAACAGCCTCCCCCCCAAGTGCGCTTGCTATCCCCTCCGTGGCCTCACTTCCAGCTTTGCTCTCATGTTCCTTCTCTTCTTCCTTGTTGTCTCTTGCTGCAGCTACCCCCTCCCCTTCCTTTCGGACAAGAACCGGGCTCACTATCGGGGCACGGGAGTCACCATCGTCCTCCAAGTCATCTTCGTCCTCTATCGCATCTTTCCACTCGCTCTCGGCAGCCCCCTCACTGCTCGCCCCCCTGCTGTCCATCCCCTTTTCCATCTCGGGGGGTGGCCCCACGATGCTGCTGGCACTGCTCCCAGTGCTCTTGGTGGACAGGTTCAGGACCCTGTTCAGAGACCGCCCAACCAGCACCTTGGCCGTTTCTACGGGCTCCCCTCCGGCCCGAGCGGTGCTCCCCTCCTCAGAGGAGAGGTCGTCCTCGACTACCGACTTGTAATCGCTCTTGTCAAAGGGGCTCTGGCCCCTTGCACTCTGCCCTGGCCCCTCGCTTCCCCCCTCCTTGAGGCCTCCGTTCACGCTACAGTCCCCGCTATCCTCCTGAAAGCCCCCGACAGGCTCCTCAGCCTGAGGTGCAGGCTTGAAAGTCTCTGCTGAGGTATCTCCTCCCAAGGGGACCGCTATGCGGCCCTTACTGGGGCTGTGACTGCTGACCTCCACCTCGCCCTGGCTTTCTTCCTGGTCCCCCTCAGCACAAGCGGCCGCACCGTCATCGTTTGAGGGAACTTTCCCATGTGCTGCTGCAGCCAGACGTGTACTGTCGATAACGGCTGCAACCGAGTCTGCCGCACTATGTTCCCGCTGCAGCGGCGCCACCATTATACGGGTCAGCGCCGCTAACCCCTCATTAACCCTCTCGCCTTCGACCTGCCGTGGGAGCCTTCGAGCCGTCCGCACAGGCCTGGCCGCCCGCTCCTCCTCTACCCCCGTCTCTTGTTTACCCTCAACTGACCCAGTTTCTAAACCCTCAGCCTGGACAACCCGCTCAGGCTTGTCCTCAGGAGCCGGCGCAGCAAGAGCGGCAGACGAGAGGTGCTCTGCTTCTAATGCCCGCACTCGCCTCTTGAGCTTCAGGTAACAGCCGCTGCACATCCCAGGATCGGGCTCCCCCTCAAGGAGCCTCAGGATGTGCGCTTGCGCGCTCACACGCGCCTCGATGTAGCGCTGCTCCTCCTTGTACTCCGCCAGCTCCCCTTGCACCTGCTGCAGCTTTGCAGCCAGCGCCCGTTCCGCTGGGGAACTCCCAGCAAAGAGTTCAAGGCCTTCCATCGTCGCTTCCAGCGCCGTTTAAAGGTTGGACTTTCGTCCAACTGCTTCCACTCTCGCACCCTGTGAAAGCAAGCCAACTTGGATTTAGAAAAGCCGAAGGTAAGCAACCTAGACTCTATAAGCTTCTCGCGTTCTCACAAAGTCCCTGAGACAGGAAAATGCTTTCGAAAGATAAGATGCATATTGTTTACATGGTGACAACTGGACATCGCAACAAAGCTCGGTAAAAAGAAGCAGGGGGACACCAGAAGCAGAGGGGATATAAGAGCAGGCCAAAGGCATACAGAATCCTAAAACAGTGCCGCTCCGGCGCTCTTTTCGCCCTTGATTATCTTGTATACGCGTCCTGCATCCAGTTCACAGCACTCTAAACAATCAACCTTAAAGGTGCTCCCACAATATAATCATGTATGACTCTGACATGTCGTTGCAGGGACAGCCACACGAGCAGTTGTTCCATGTGATCCGACCAGAAGTGGATGGCCATGTTACCAAAGAAAATTTTGCTCACGCAGATTGAAGTAGTAAAGCGAGGGCAAAGAAAGGGCAAAGAGAGGGCTCCGCATCCCTGAGGTTGCACAGCAAGATGTTCACTATTATTCCAATCAGACACCACATGAGCATAAGGAGGCTGCCTGGCAGCAGGGCAAATGATTCTAGGCAGGTAGAATGTTTACCCTCAACGCCTCAAAGAGACTTTAAGTGTGGAGCAGACCAAAAGCTTCAATCAACATACATTCAGTGCGACTCACATGTTTGCAGACAGTAAGACAGAAGTTCTAATCTACACATCCAGCGAATTGTGTTGTTCAGGAATCAGATGCAACACAAAATCTCCATCTTTACCATAGGGAGACAATCTTGGGTAGAGCTGAGGTTGTCTAAAACAATCCACCAAAGTGCAGAGAGTGTTTGCCCCGGTGCATTTGTGAATAAAAGTGGCAACACAAACCAGTCCCATCGATCCTTTTGACTGTTCCCAGTGTTATAGAACAAGGCCAAGAGCGTCGCTTGCAAAGGACGTCAAATAAAGCAGCGCAGGAATTGAATCTTGGCTTCCCAATCAACCGAAGTAACGAAGCAGCAAAATCTTCGAGTATCTTTCTCCGTGCACCGAGATTGCTGCTCAACTCTGTGCTCACCTCAAAACAGGGGCGCCCCTAGTAGTTGTACTTCAACCATCCAAGAATCTTGACACTCCGCTTTGAAAACCACCTGCCGCCGCTGTTTGCAGCGCCCCGCCACCATCCGAGCTCTGCCCTTCTAACTTTTAGAGCGCAATCCAGTCTGTGCGCTCGATCGAAAGAAACCATCGAACCTGACAGTGAGGCTGAACACCTTGAACCTGACCTCTCGAGTCTCAGAAGCAGAGTGAAGTTGGCCGCCGCCCTGGTAGGTTTTACGACGAAGAAGCACAGAATGCAAACCGATTCTACGGAAAATATCTGACGGTCGCTTCCACCGTCAAATGTCCCGTCATATATGTGGGACCGGCTCAGAGAAGAAAGACCGTTGAGACGTCAAGCTGCGGCTCGCCCGCGTCAGAGAAGCTGTTTCTAGAACACGGTCAATGCTGTAGTCAATATACCTAAGGCCAGAAAACCTCTGGCAAAGCTCCGTGGTGGTCAGCGATCGAGCATACTGCTCGAGTCGAGGTAGCTCAAGGACGTTCGGAGAAGCTCGTGCCACAGCGCGCAACGTGACGTACCAGAGGCAGCCGTTGCTTTGTTGCTTGCCACGAGCATGCAGCACGCAGGGGTTGCTTTTATCTGAAGCTGGTGCTTGTTAGCATATCACCAAGATGGCGGGGTTCTTGCGCTCCGCCGTGTTGGGTGTGGCGCGGCAGGCATCAAGGTCGTCTCGTGTGTTTCCCCAACTCGATCAAGCGCAGCCTGGGGTCGCTGGATTTTCCCGAGCAATTGGAGCAGTCCGGTGGTATGCAGCTGAACCTGAGCATGATGTCATAGTAATTGGAGGAGGCCCGGGCGGGTACGTTGCCAGTATCAAGGCAGGTCAACTGAAACTGAAGACAGTGTGTGTGGAGAAGAGGGGAGCACTTGGCGGAACCTGCCTCAATGTCGGCTGCATTCCGTCAAAGGTGATATTCTTTTCCTAGAGACAATTTGAGCTTCCCGGTGCTAAGCTCGTGAATTCTGAAAACAATCTTATAATCTGTTGAGGCACACTTGTTATGAATATTTCTGGGAATATGCTGAGGCGTCTTGTCTATCCATCTTCATGTTTTGAAAGGCTTTCAATTGCTTTACCCATGGCCAGAAGATGTGACAATTGATGCCATCGCATGATCACTTGGTCTTTCTTGTTGTTTAACATGCGCACTCAGGAGGGTAAGTGGGTGGCAGTTATTCGTTTCTAAGATGCCAAAGCAGTTCAGGATTTTTCAAGAGTTCCTACCTGAGCTTAGCGTGCTGCAATAGATAGGTTCTAAGGATATCTCTTTGTTGATGCATGAAAGCCAGGCATGAATTGAAAAGCATTGACAGGTATTCGTGGTTTGCAGTCTGATATGTGCATTAATAACTTGGATGTAGGCTTACAATGAGCATAAATTTCAAATTTGATCCCACAATTTCACGAGCAAGCTAAAAGTCTTGAGTGTCACAATCACCATCATTCTAGATTTCGTGATCTGTGTCCTCCAACAGATCTGCTCAAATGGATCTGGCTAATCATATGCTTGTGCCTGGAATTCGTCTCTTTGAATTTCTTCTGTGATTCTTATCCTTTCATCAGGATCTTGTCACTTGCTTATCTCAGCTGTTAGTGCATGTCGACGAGGTTTTTGCAAGGAAGACACACTGAAGCACCTTGCAAGGAAGACACACTGAAGCACCAAGGATTGGAGTGGCACTGGGAAGGCAATCTCAAAACCCTTCGCTGCAGGCCCTGCTTCAGACGTCCCACATGTACCATGAGGCCAAGGAAAACTTCAAGAACCATGGAGTCATGGTGTCTGGCGTTGACATCGATCTCCCAGCGATGATGGCTCAGAAGGACCGCGCTGTGAAGGGCTTGACGCAAGGTGTGGAGGGCCTGCTGAAGAAGAACAAGGTCAAGTACGTCAAAGGCTGGGGCAAGATCACAGGCCCCAACGAGGTGACGGCAGAGCTCCTGGACGGGGGCGAGGAGAAGCTCACAGCCAAAAGCATCATCATTGCAACCGGCTCAGACGTGCGGGAGCTACCCGGCGTGAAGATCGACGAGGAGAAGATTGTCTCGTCGACAGGGGCGCTCAGCTTGAAAGCCATCCCGAAGAAGCTGGTGGTCATCGGGGGTGGGTACATTGGCCTCGAGATGGCGTCGGTTTGGTGCCGCCTGGGGTCGGACGTGGAGGTGGTGGAGTTTACCGACGACGTCGTCCCGACCATGGACAGCGAGGTGCGGCGCGCGTTCAAGCGCTCCCTTCAGAAGCAAGGCTTCAAGTTCACGCTCAAGACCAAGGTGGTGAGCGCCGAGGTCCAGGGGGACAAGGTGAACCTTGTCCTGGAGCCTGCCAAGGGGGGGGAGCAGACGAAGCTGGAGGCCGACATCGTCCTGGTGGCCACCGGACGAGTCCCGTTCACGAAGGGGCTCGGCCTGGAGGAGGTCGGGGTGAAGCTGGACAAGTTTGGCCGAGTCGAGGTGGACCAGCACTTCAGGTCGAGCGTTCCGAGCATCTATGCGATTGGTGACGTCATTCCTGGCCCAATGCTTGCGCACAAGGCTGAGGAGGACGGCGTGGCATGCGTGGAGTTGCTGGCGGGCAAGGCTGGACACGTTAACTATGACACTGTTCCGGGCATCATCTACACCTGGCCGGAAGTGGGGATGGTCGGCAAGACTGAGGACCAGGTACAGCGTACACAGCTGTCACTGGAGACTGTATCGTGTTGCCTGTTCCCTTCTCTTCTTTGCTTGCAACGCCTCAGATAGTTCATCTGATCTTCGGCCTGTATGGAGTTCATGAAGACTGCCAAAACTCCTCGACTCGACGACCCTATGAAGGTTCCATTCCATACCTGAGGGCAAGGCAACGTTAGTAGGCAGGCCCAAACGGATTCAAACGCCACCGTTATTGAACTGAGGACAGGGTACTTGGATCACTTCTGTGTTGACATACGCGGCATCTATTTTCTCTAGAGGTTTCTTCGGTTTCATCCTCTGCTTTTCATCGTTTCTTCATCTCATGTTCACTTCGTTGTACAGTTGAAGGCAGCTGGTGTGAAGTACCGGGTGGGCAAGTTCCCCTTCATGGCCAACAGCAGGGCCAGGACGATCGAGGACACTGAAGGAATGGTCAAGTTTATCTCGGATGCAGAGGTGGGTCACACAAGCGTCCATTGATTCACCTCGTTGTCGAGCTGAAAGCCTTATCGGATCCAAGCATCTGTATCCTTCGCAGAGGAACCTATGCGTCCGATTCGTATGCAAAAGCGTTTGGTCCGCGAATTTGCTCTCGATGTTGCAGCAGAGGTTCGTAGAGGTGCGAGAAACTTTTTGGGAGGATCGCTTATTCCGTAAGGCTCAGATGTCTCATCTTTCCGTAGAAGAAAGATTTAATTTGGATCACTCGACAGGGATTCCATGTATTGAGCAGAGAATCTTGCAGATGAAGAGTTCAAGTGCAGCTTTCAGGCCTTCTCTCATTGTAATTTAACTGCCCCTCCATCTGCAGACGGACAAGATTCTTGGAGTCACCATCATGGGGCCCAATGCTGGTGAGATGATCGGCGAGTGCGTGTTGGCTATGGAGTACGGCGCGGCGACTGAAGACATAGCCAGGACATGCCACGGACATCCTACATTGTCGGAGGCTATCAAGGAAGCAGCCATGGCGACATACGATAAGCCTATTCACATCTAAGCTTAAAAATCTCGTAAGAACTCACATGCAATCCTCAGGGCCGCACATTTTAGATTGTGAATGTCTCTAGGCCAAACAACAATTATGTACAAAGGAAGCTCGTAATCCGAAGAAGAGCCTCTTATGCGTTAGGAACTTTGCAGCACCGATCAAGTCGTGGGATTGAAGGTTGTTGTCTATCCCCTGTTGCTTGCGCAATGGAGCAGTAAAGTGGCGCATACAAGACAGATGTCTGGCTTCCGCTTGTACGTTTCCCTGTATACAAAGATGGCTACTCTGTCTCGAGCAGCATGTACAATTGGCTTGTACAACCTGTGTGATGCGGAATGACAACGTTTTATGGACAAACTTT